CTCCAGCAACACTGAAACGCTTTTTCTAGAGGCGACAATATTTCACAAAATTAATATTGACTGCTTTGTCAGAGATTCATCGCGTTTACATTTGACTTTTTTGGCCTTTTGTCTTCTGTCTGTCATTCGTAAACAACAGCTAAACCAATGTAACTACTCCGTCGACCAATCCGGGTTTCTGACCGGATTTCGGACAGATTTTACGTCATCAGTATTGAATTTCTGTCGCTGAGTCGCAGACGTTCCTCCGCGCGAAACGTCCCCAGCTGCGAAGAGCGAGATGAAACGGCTGTTTTCGCAGGCTAGATGTCTACAGTTGTATTTAATTTCACTTCAGTTCCAATTCAATAAAATTTAATCCCAATCCAAGGCAACCTCTCATAAGCGACCGCAACTACTTTCTCTTTTTTTTAGGATGACGATATTAGAATTTTCGATTATTTTCAACCCCTTCTTACCGACCACTTGGCGCAATAATCTTATCTCTGTGTTCGCTGTAAGTACTGCCCTTTCCAGAGCATGAGAAGAACTTATAGAAACAACTTGGGTTTACATACAGATATTTCGAGAAAGGTTGACAACGCGACAATCCCGAAAGGTATGGTGCGTAGTTTTGAGTTATTAAACTGTTTTTCAAAGAAATTTGAAAGAATGGCACAAGCAACCATAGACGGTATGTTTGTGAGTGCTAAAGAAAAGCAACAAAAGTAGGTTCGACAGCTACAGTGTCAAGAAACAGTGTATTGTTTATATCCCATATTACCTTTCCGGATTCTCATGTGCACACTTTTTCCGACGGCCTTTCTCGAAATATTCAGCTGTATATTGTAACCTAAAAATTGCACGCAACACATTTTTTCCAAAAAGTAGATGTGCCGGGACCTCTCGTTGTAAAAGACCTCCTGCAGTTCGACGCTCCTAAGTGACCACCTCCCGTAAGCGACAACTAAATATTCGCCGATTACGGGAAGTTGCGCTGTATAGGAAAACCGCAAGAAGTAAAGATGATAAAAGACGAAATCCTGCCTTCTAAGAAAGCTGTGTGAGTAAAGTTAAATTGATATCGCTATTGATTAATATTATTTATTAACATCGCTATCGAAGTGGGGGTAACTCTAGACAGTAGCGGAAGTAAATGAGTAGGAGCGATGACGGAAGGCGAAAAGAGACGGAAGTAAATATTCAGAAGTGAGGATTAGGATTAGTCAGCACCAAACCCTCCGGGCCAACCGCTCCGGTACGATGTTCGATGTGTGTGATCACGTCACGTGAACAACTCGTTCCAGTTCTGTGCCATCGCCATTCATTCGCCACTTTGAGGATGGGCGGGAGATCAGATCGAGATGGTGCATTGTGGGACTGTTTTGGGGGAAGAATTTGCCGCCATGTTGAAAATGCGTCCCCCAAAACAATCCCACAATGCACTTTGACAACCATCTCGACCCGGTCTCCCGCGCAACCTCAAATTGGCGAATAATATACCGCGGATAGCTTTTCACATCGGCACGAAAAGGTATCTGGTAAAGTGAGAACATAGCCGAAGCGGAGGTTGTCAACTACCGAAACAACGAGAACGGCAAAAAAGTAAAAGGTTTAGACAAGCAAAACAACAACTTTGCACGTGCATCACGCTTTTTTGTACATTTCTCTGCCGTCGTTGCAGGACTACAACGTGAAACTGCCTAATTTCACGTTTGTCGAGGACGGGAACAAAAGACGACAACTTTCTTGAAATTTCCTGAAATTGGATGCAGTCCTTTAGAATTCAACTCCGAAAAAATTTGCCAACATTTGACGAATTAAACGCGATGGAATAAGCGCGATAAAGTTTGAGGCGGCGCAAATTCACTTTTTCAGTGACGTTTTCGTAGCCGTCGCCGTCGTCGTTGCGTAAACTCCCTAAAGGCAGCGGTCGCGCTGATGCGCTTTCGTATTCACTGACACTTTCGTTCACGCTCAGACAATCACAAATTCACTGCACACAGAAGCCTTTTGTTTCTTTATTTACATTCCTTCGTTCCAATTCCTCTCCTCCTTCGTTGCAATTAGGTTCTCTGTCGCAATATTATGAGTCT